CATTCTGAATAAGCTGCAGTTGCTGCACAACTTTTTTGGGAAGACCAGTAAAAAGACCATTGCAATAGTCCAGCCCACTGTAGATGAACACATTGTAATGAAATAGATTACAGTTATTTAATAAGCCATAAGGCGTAGGATTCCATAGGAAATATGAAATCCACCTTACGGATCTGTGAGGTTATTTAAATCAGAAGATTGGATCTTTTTATTGCAGGGATTAGAAAACAGCTTCGTATTCACTCAGAGACAACAGAAGAGAGAGAGTCAAGTTTAAAAGTTAAGAATTTTATTACTAACAAATTCAACTAGACTGACTTTAAAACTAAATGTATGGTGTAACTAAAGTGGATGAGACAGTGTATGGATGACGTGTGATGTGATCAGAACCAACAAATCCGAAGAAGCGATAGTTCTGATGGGAACTGAAGATGTTGTTTTCGCATTAAGCCTTGGTTAGGAAGTTCAGAAAAACATGAGACACCATCATGCCGGTCTACCTACCCTTGGTGGAAGTCCTCTGTAGATCAGGAATATCGAGGTCCAGTGGACCCTCTCTGGAACCGAGCCGGTAGGAAAAGCCGCGGTTCCGATCAAACCCGTCTTGAGTTACTTCCAGGAACATGACAAGTTATTGGCGTCTGGTGAGACCCAAGCCTGGGTCCGGAAGGTGGAGCTCTTGTTCTGAAAGGAACTGTTGTCGCTGGTTGGTATAGCGACTGGATTTTTCAGCTTGTCGTTCTTTCGGTTAAAGAGCTGAGATCAGGATTGGCCACTCCATCACTTTCTCTGGAACGCTTTGAACTGGCGTTAGAGATTACGTGGCATAGTTTTATACTTCGGATGTTATGGTTTACTGTCAAATGAAATTACCAAACACCATCAAAACCACGTCTCCGTCAGATTCTGATTGGATCAGTGAAAGGAATGTGTCATGTCTTTTTAACGCTACCTGAAATGAGTCCTGTTGGAACACTTAAAGTCACAGTACCTTTATATTCTATAGGATTATAATAAAGTAATTAATATTTCAATTTCACAGGTCGGTCACATCTTATTTATTGACACTTTGATGGATTAGCTTTATTAAAATAGAGTTCCTTGATCAATTAAAAGAAAAGATTCCATTCTTCGTTCTTCTGTTGAGCTGAAAATAAGCAGGTTAGAAGGAATGCATGAGACCTTGAGACCATATCTCATGCAGACTAGTCTTGAGTGAAGAAGGGTAAAATAAGAGTCATTCCGTTCCGTTACAACATGAATGAGTCTTGTCTGGACAATAGACCCCTGAGTCATGCTATTTGTGTCATGTGGTGGTGAAGTGATCTAACCCACGACATACAGAATCAGATCGGAGACGGTTTTAAAAGGTTTAAATAAGGATTTATTGAAGGGAAACCAAGGGAGCAGCGTAACGAAGCTGAGTTCTTGCGCAGGGAGGCTGGTGCGGGAAAACTGTGGACAGATCGGAGTTAGATCCAATTTGCGGAAGGATCAGGAAATCAGACTTGTGCAGAGGACTTACGGTCTGGAGAGGTGGGAACTGGTTTGAGGGAGGAGTGGTCCGGTCTGGGTAGCAGGGACTGGGATCCAGGAGTGAGACGTGGAGGGAGCTGAGCTTGGGGAGGTCCAGGAGGGTTAGGTGGGCTGCTGGAGGTGGTTCTGGCCAGGGGAGAGGCTGAGAGACGAGCGGGGTTGGAGCTTCAAATGATGCGGGCTCCAGAGTTCTGCCAGTCGAAGATGAGTGTGGAGGTTTTGTCTGGGAACAAGAGCAGGAGGTCAAAAGGCAAAAATCCAAAACTCATTAAATTCTTAAAACTCCAAATTACAAAAACACAATCTAACTCTCAAAAAAAACCTCGAATAAGATAAACTAGTGGCTGTTAGAAGGTACCCAGGTAGAGTAATCATCCAGCGAAGTGTAGGAGTCTCCCAGCTGCTTAAATACCCCTGGCCAGCTGATGAGCAGATCTGCTGCAGCTTGGTCACCTCCAGACACGCCCACCTGCAGAGGGAAACTCAAAAGACAGGGAGTGACAGCAGGGAAATACCTCAGACCGTGACAATTTGATGCAGATGATAAAACGGTGATCTAGTTTTGGCCTTAATGTGACCAGCGAAGCTCAGGTCTGAATCAATTATGACACCAAGATTTTTAACCTGAGTCTTTGTCTAATAGTAAAAACCAGGATTGTAAACAAACTTAGGAAAATGGACAAAAATAATCCAAAAAACATTTTTACATGAACATGTTTTATTGATTTATTTGGAAAAAAAAAGCAAATGTGAATGCACACATGAACACACGTTTGTGCCTCTCACACACAGCAATGCAACACTCAGCTGTTTTCATGTTGTAAAAATTATTTTTCAAAACCTGTGTGACTGGTCTTGTGTAGCGACTAAGGCACTGAAAACTCGTACTTTCATTCACAAAAATCACAAAATTGTAGCTTTTATCTTTTCTAACCTGAAAATGCCCGCTTAATCACAGCCGGCACAATAAGCCTTAAAAACCATGATCCTGATAATGACTCCATATTTTTAGTCAGCAGTGAATCAAGACAAGAAAATTTCATTTAGTATCTTTTTGCTAAAAAGCTGAAAAAAGTTCATTTTAGATCATTTTCACAACTAAAAAGTGACAAATATGCGTCAGTGTCTTTCAAAAGCAGCTGATCATCAGTATGAATTAACATCAGTCCTATAAATGTGGATTTATTAGCAAGAATCAAGTTAATCCAATGATGGCTATAGTGTTGCACGACTGAAGGTATTTAAAAAAAGAAGCAACAATTCTAGCGCTGAACCAGTAGGGGGAGCCCAAGCTCCAGGAGTATGCAGCCATGAGGGGGTTGCGTTTAGCTCTAACCCAAGTGAGCAGAACATCTGGGCAGATGTCATACCAGGTGTTGCATGCAGGACATGATGGTGCGATTAAAACAGCTGGATGATGTCAGAGTTGTAATAAAAGAGGAAGAATCAAGTCTCAGATTAAAACGGTACCGAAGCAAAGAGTCGGGGGAGCTTTGGACTTCTATAACGGATGTGAGGAGGGACGTTTTTAAAGGCTGTACTTATTTATCAATAAAGAAGAGGAAGCATGAACTCTTAAAATCTAAATCGGCTCAGTCATATGAGCTGCTTTAACTTTTATTTGTGTTTGTAGCTGTGACATATTTTCTATAAACCACATGTAATGTCCTTGACAGCTTTCTGCTTCTAGATGGTTCAACCTGGTTGCTAGCCTAACAAGTTATCCTATATATGTGGATATATAGTCTGGCCACAACCCATAGACAGAGCTCGGTCATGAGGAATACATGATTGTCTTTTTGTCTCTGCGTGCTATTGGATGAGCATACTCACTGCTACGGATGTCAGTCAACGAGGCAGTCCGCCATACGCTGTCGAAGAAGATGCAAATTCATGCTTTTTTTAGATACCAAAGAAAAGTCCAAATAGGCCAAAGTTAATGCCAAAGCTGTTTTGAACGAGCCAACGCCATCTTAGTAGTTTCGCTCTGTCGTATCATCCTGCCCACCAAACCAATGGAGCGCTGTGACTGGCACAACACAATACTGCTCAGGCTAGACTGACATGCAAAGCTAAGTCATTTTGCTTCAGCTATTGTCTGTCTAGATCTCAGGCTACCTGCATGGGACGGAGCATCAAACCATTGGACTAGAACATACTGCAAACTGAAACAGCTGTTTGAAATCTTCAACGTCAAAAAGTGAAAATTTGATAAACATTTTGGTCCATTTTCAGAAATCTTCCAGCTGCTTTAGTGGACGATGTCACGACTTAGTAAAATTTAGCAAACCTTTTACTCCGTCAACATTTTGATAGGCTGTACAAAATAAATATCAGGTGCTTTTGTCCTCTTTAACCTAGTGTGTTTTTCTTTTATCATCTTTCAAATCACCCGGGAAACTAGCAGTAACACAAAGATTCTGCTCTGCATGTCAGTCTAGCCACGCCCCATTGTAGCCTCAGTAGATCTACTGTCGGCCCAATCAGTTCTGTGAAGAAAACTACAAAGATGGCATTGGCTTAGGGATGGTGCTGTTTAAAACTGCTTTGGGATCAACTTTGGACAATTTAGACTTGAGACTTTTGTTGAAACATAAGCATATAGAGGTACTTAAGTCATTTGTTTCAAAAAAGGTTGTGTTTGCATTTTTTTCTGGTGTATAGCAGACTCCCCCATTGACTAACATCTGTGGCGGTGAATATGTTTGTTTCTCTGATTGGTCCTAGCGTTGTTTAAGTGCGTGCGAAGACAATTTGACGGACAACCATAATTTCCGCCCCATGACTGAGCTCAGGCTATGGGTCGATGGCTACCGAGAAGGCAGAGTAAACATAAAAGCTAGCACTAGTTTCCACTTGAAACTATCTCTGACAATTTTACTCGTTAGATTTCTAACATTAAACATTACAGAAACACAAACATTTACACGAGACACAAGTAGACCCTGCTGTTGTTCATAAACCAAGAATTGTTTTTAATTAATTCTGTCTTTTCACAAAGCACTGTTTTGTTTGATGGATACATTTTAGCCCCTTTTCTGGGGCTGTGAAGTCCTCTGCTCCACAAAAAGGCGAGAGAAATTGCAATCAGAGTTTTAAGGGGCTGTTACTTTCACCCTACAGCAGGGGCATTCAAATCCAGTCCTGGAAGGCCGGTATCCAGCACATTTTAGTGGTTTCTCTGCTCCGACACACTAAATTCAGTGGTTGAATCGCCTGTGCAGCAGCTCATCAGGCTCTGCAGAAGCCTGTTAATCACCTACTGAGTGAAATCAGGTGTGTTGAAACAGAGTTAAAGCTAAAACTCTGAATGCCAGCCCTCCAGGCCTGGAATTGAATAAACCAGCCCTACAGCATACCTGGAATTTCTTCTAGCGTACGATGTGCAACGGTATTTTATGGCCATTGATAAGTAAAAATCTCAGAAATTACTGAAAAAATAAAAATAAAAAACTGTTAACAGAGGGTCTCTTCCCCTGCTTGTACAGGTCACGCTCCACAACTTATGTGCGTAATTTGTTCTGATTGTCGCCATTAAAACACACTAAAATAACTAAAAAGCAACAATGTTGAAAGAGAAGCTTCTTTAGATCGTTCCTCCATCTGCAAAGGTTTGGGTAATGAGGAAGCCATAGATCTAACTGGTTGTTTGCATCGACTCAATAAACTGATGTTGGCCAACTTTTTGTTCTAGTGCAGTTCTTGAAGTCAGGAATTTTATCAGTTTCACTCCTGAGTGGCTTCTCAAATACTTCCACTGGTGCAGCCAGAGTTTAAAACTGTGCATGTACTTGATAGAACTGATAAAGTACAAATGTCTTCATTACCCCGTCAGTTGCGGTAAAACGAAAATGTTTCCTTTACAGAATCAAAGACTAAAACTGTAAGAGAAGTAGTTGAAAATCATGAAGACTAAAACATTTGGGGTTGCATGACTGTTTTACGTTCATTCATGCTGCACCCTTGGAACCAAAACAGCAGAAGCTTAAGTAACATCAGATTCCCTCGTGGATTTTTTGCCGCGTCTCACTGTGACGCCTTTACTCTGGATACCATGGCGCCATCGTATAATCAATTCCCTGTAACACATAAACACACATCGACTCTTACAGCTTTCTTGCAACCACGTCTGATGAATTTCTGACATTTTTACTTATATTTCCATCAAAACTAAAAGTTTGTGGTCTGCCCAGTGGAAGCCAGCTGCTTCAGGTTCCTCTACAAGCTAATTGCATTTCCTGTTTTGAACGCAGGATGATAAATTCACCAAACTCCTTAAAGAAAAGCTAAAGGTCTGCTCTTTTCCAAGCCCATTAGACTGGAAGCAGTCAGCCGTGCCACTGTTGGCGTAGGAGGTGATTTGGTTTCCAGCACTATTGAGACCATATGATCTTTTTCACTGTTGACATTTGAGCTTTTGTGTCTAAGTTGGGGAAAGACGGTTGCCTGTTAAAATGGGATTTTGGCTGCATGCTTGTGGCTGAGCGATGGTGCAGTCTGGATGAAAAGCATTTGCACTCTTCTCCACACCAACGCGCTAATCCTCGCCGGCACAGCACCGACCGCTGGTGAGGAGTTTATGCGGACAAGCCAAACGCTTGACTCCCTCCAGCTCGTGCTGATCTCAATATGCAACTCTGACAGTATGAAACTGCTCTTTGTTTACTGGAGTGTGCTTCAGCTGGCCTAGGATGTGTCTGAAGGCCACTTTATAAGAGCTTCCACGTGTTAAAAGAAGAGACTTATTATTTAGTGTGCTTTTATCGATGGAGAGCCTCATATTAAGGCCACATTAGGGGCTGATGGCTTGTTAACCAATGGAGAGAGGGAGAGAACAATCTTAGGATGGCAAGAGGAGAGGGGGATCAAATGCACAGAAGCAGATCATGCCCCTCCCCCTTGCTAAGTGCTGCAGAGATGCAAGAGAATGTGTGAGTGTATGGGGGGTGGAGGTCGTTCTTACAGTTTAATGATGATTGTAGCGGAAATGGCTAGAAGGCCAGACGCTAACACCTAACGTGACCAGATTTGATTGTAACGGAGTACATTTACACGTAAACTACGCAAAGATTAAATATTGGTCAACGTTAAATCCCTGGAGGATTTACATGTCCTGGCCTTTTTACTAAGCCGATGGGCAGGATGGTGGAGATAGGCCATGTGGAGTGGTATGGAGGGGGCAAAGGGGCGGAGCTTATTCACAAACCTCTTAGGATAGAAAAAAACAGGCTTCTCTTCACATGGATCCTTTTTAGAAGGTCAGACAGCAAAATGCACAAAACTCACCATGTTGCCAATGATCCTCACACACACTCAAATTCACACAAACATCCATAAAGATCATCCTTACACACCCACACACACCCTCCCCATGTCTCTCAGCCTGTACCAGCCAGAAGCAAGACCAACCCTGCATAGTTTTGAGTCTGAATCTAACAGCAAGAGAAGGAAGGGGCAAGCAGGGGGAGTCCGTGAAAATAGGATGAGCTGTCTCCGTAGAAAAATAAAGGAACTTCCAGAGGCTGATTTAAGTGTCTTTGGCACTTCTAAAACCGCATAAAAAACTGACACTGAGTAGAAAAGGCCAACTAGATCGAGAAGGATAAGATACAAGGTCATCCACATATAAGTCTGGCTAAACCAGGGTGGATCTGAGCCTGAACAGGTCCATACTCCACCACCTCTCCATCCACCGTGATCATGCCCTGTGGAGAGATGGGCTCCAGCCGTAGGGCCCTCACCTTCTCGTACACAAGGTGAGGACAGCCGCACGCCAAATGGGCACCCTTCTCCATGGCGAGGAAGAGACGCAGGAGGGCGGGCCGGGAGATTCCGGCCGTCACGTAAAACAGATGAATCAGTCCGTCGTCTGCTGTTGCCTCAGGGACTGTCCACAGGTCCTCGGCCAGGTGGGACTGGTAAATAGCCAGCACCAAGACAAAGTCTTCCTCTTTGACCACGGTCCAGCTCTCTGGGACCGGCTGGTCTAGGGCAGGAAGCAGAGAGTCCACAAGAGCTGTGGCCTTTCTGTCTTTCTTTGGCTCTGGCCTCATGTTGGTGATGACATTGTTAGAAGAGTTAGAGACTGTGTTTTGGTTTAAATTCGTCCTAACGGGGTGGGAGCCCAGCTTTGGTGAAGAGTTGGGAATGAGGCGACAGGGAAGAGACAAGCAGTGCGAGGGGTGCTGAGTAGTGGAAGGTGGGTGGTTTATGCTTCCTTTTGGAGGTTTAGGTGCTTCCTTAACAGGAAGATAAGCCAACCTGCCTTGGTACACTCTAAGGGAGGCCAGGCGCACCAGCGTGCCCATCAGGAAGCGAATAGCTCCCACATGACGATACTTCTCGCTCTCGATGTCAACGTCTGCCACAAAGCCCCAGGCCAGGGACAGGAAAGAGAAGAGGCGTTGAGTGGAGGCCAAGTGGACTGACACAAGGTCCAAAGGACCAACCAGACCTTTGCAGATGATAAAGCCACAGCTCAGTAGCAGCTCCTCATTCCAAGCCGGAAGTGACCTGAAGGAAATCAAGAAATAGTCAAATACGGCACCACAGACCCACATGTCAGGGTTGTTGCTGTTAAACTGAATTTCTGCTTTTTTATACGAAGGAAGAGCTGAGGTACAAAAAGGAAATGACTCCATCAGTCTGTTACCACCAGTACCAAAACACATCTGTAATTAAGTAGGCTGAACTATGGTATTTAAGGCTGTAGGGGTATTCAGACAGGGGAAAGGTTGGACGTCTGACCCTGTAGGAAATGAGTACTCCATAAATTTGAGTTATTTTGGCGCCGTATAAAGGTTTAACATCTTGTGATGCTGACGTGATTTGTGGTCTGTTGGCTCACCCTACAATGCATCTTGTGATGCTGTGCCAACATCCTACCAGCAGGTGGTGAAGGCACTCTGGACTAGTGCTGGGTCAAAAATTTTGCACAGTTGCACTCTGGACTGTAATCAGTCAAAATGCTGGAGTTTCTAGCACGTTACATCATTCCTTTGAGAGATTAAGCAACCTGAAATGACCTCTTGCTGCCTGCAAAGCTTCGCAGTCCTGGTGTCTCCTCCCTACTGAGGAATGATGTGCCCAGTCAGCCCTTTGCCATAATTACACAGGAGGGAGATGAATTGTCTTTTTTAAACTTAGCTCAGACCATCCGGTGCACCTTTAACTGATGCATTTAAATGCCTCATTATTAAATCGACTTACTGTGAGTAATGGTGGATAGATGCAGACAGAGCATTGCCTGAACCACCTGGTAAGATACCAAGAGGTGTCTGGATGGCTTGCTTCCAGTCTTCTCGCTCCATCAGACCATTTATCACCTGAATGAAACAATGAAGAAAAACAGAAACAAATCAAAGTGGCGCTTAAAAATAAACAGAACTATATTTTCAAGACAAATGTTTGTGTCCTAAAACTATTGGAACAGCAGCGTCCAAAAACAAAGACAATAGATAATAACAGACAAGTTTTAGTGTGTTATAAAACATTGTGTTGTAATGTATTCTTCTTCACCAAAGAATGTGTTCATTCAGTCATATTGTCTCATCATGTAATAATGTTTTTGTTCATATAATCTTCGAGCTTATCGTCTTGTGTTGTATTGTCTTTTAATGTATCCTCTAGTAGTGTACTTCCCAGTGTTGTAACATTTTGCGGTATTGATTACCAGTTTGTAGTGTATCACCAAGTGTGGTATCCTCTTGTTGCCTTGTGTGTCAAGATTTTTCATAACATAATTGTACTGTATGTACTGTAATGAAAAGTACTGTCATGTAAAGTACTGTCTCCTAAAGTACTGTATCATAACATACTATAACTTATAGTCTTGTAAATTACCATATTGTAATGTACTGTCTTGTAAAGTACTGTATTGCAACATACTGTACTTGTAAAGTATCATATTGTAACATATTGTCTTGTAAAGTACTGGGTAATTAAGTACTGTATTGTAACTTATAGTCTTGTAAAATACCCTATTGTAACTTATTGTAACTGTAACTGTAAATTACCATATTGTAACATACTCTTTTGTAACGTACTGTCTTGTAAAGTACCGTAGTGAAATCTATACTATCTTGTGGCATACTGTTTTAAAATATACTGTCTTGTAAAGTACCATACTGTCTTGAAACTTATTCTCTTGTGATGTCCTGTCTTGTCAGTTACTGTATAGTAGCATACAGTATTGTCACTTACTGTCTTGTAACACTGTATTGTAATGTAGTGTATTTAATCATAATGTGTAGTAAAGTACTGTATTGTAACCTACTGTCTTGTTACATAATCTCTTGTAACATACTGTCTTGTATTGTACAGTAATATATCATCTTGTAAATGACCATATTGTACCTGCTGTCTTGTAACATCCTGTCTCTTAACTTACTGTCTTTTAACATACTGTATTGTAAAGTACTGTATTGTAAAGTACTGCCTTTTTACACAATCTCTTGTAAAGTACAGTCTTGTAATGTACTGTAACACATTGTCATGTAAATTACCATATTGTAATGTACTGTATTGTAATGTATTGTCTTGTAAAATGCTGTCTTGAGATGTACTGTCTAAAGTAGTGTATTGTAACGTACTGGCTTGTTACATAATCTCTTGTGAAGTACTGTCTTTAATGTACTGTAACATATTGTCTTGTAAATTACTCTATTGTAACGTATTGTTTTGTAACATACTGTCTTCTAACGCACTTTATTGTAACGTACTGCCTTGTACATAATCTCTTGTAATGCACAGTAACATATTGTCATGTAAATTACCGTATTGTAATGTACTGTCTTGTAACATACTGTCTCATAACTTACTGTTTTTTAACATACTGTACTGTAACGCATTGTCTTGTAACATACTTTACTGAAACATACTGTCTTGTAAAGTACTGTATTGTAACATACTGCCTTGTAACATGCTGTATTGTATCAAACTGCCTTTTAACATATCGTATTGTAATGTACTGTCTTATAACATACTATCTTTTAACACAATGTCTTGTAACAAATTGTCTTGTAGGGTGTCACCATAACATCTTATGCTATACTGTGTTGTAGCATATTATCTTACATAGTGCCATCTTGTATCATATATTGCCTTGTATCATATCATTTAGCATATCACCCTGTGATGTTTTGTCTTGTAACAAATCTGTTCTTGTGGTGACTTGATAAGTATGTTACTGTAGATCAGTTGTGCTGTTCTATATCTGATGACACTGACGATGCCATGACTGACAACATAAACTCGAGACATTAATATTTAGTTCTTGGTGGCTTCAGATTGGTTCAAGAGCCACAGCACCTGATCTCCCTTGTCATGTTTAAGAGCAAATTAAAATTTCATATTCCTATTCCAAGAAGAGCTGAAAATAGAAACAGGAAGGGGGTAGAGGTTGATTTCCACCTGTGACTGATTAACGATTTTCATCAAAAGTAAGCAGAAGGGGGCTGCATACCTCAAACAGCAGCCCGTCACCTGACATGATAACCAGAGCATCCCATTGTGACAGGTCGGCCTTCCTCACTAGCTCCCGCGCATGGTTCTTGTGCTCTGCAGAACACAAAAAAATTCAATTAATAGCAAAGCTAAAGTAAATAAAACAAAAATATAAAGCAGGAAATGTGGCAGAATGTGGGACAAACAAGGGCAGAGAAAGACATGTTCCCTTTAGCGCCAGTCTCTGGTGTGAGATCAGGGAGATTAGTCAGAAAAGAGATTCAATTTCCCCTTATCGGAGCAGACATATCACATTAACTCATCCAGTGGCTACTCGGCAGCTCCAAGGCAGCTTAGCCAGACATCTGTGACTGAAATATCTGCATGTGTGTCGTTAGAGCTTGGTGTGTGCACGAGTGTTGGTTAATGTGCTGGTGGAGAGAAGAGCTGTTTGTTCAGCCTAGTTTTATTGGTAGCGTCCTTGAGATGGTCCTTCTGCCGGGGGTCTCACAGGCTCATCCCGCCAGCATTAAAGTCTACACTCCTGCCAGCCAAGGCTCCCCGGTGTAGTCACATGTGGGAAATGAAAACAGAGGAGGAGAGAGGGAGGCAGATGGCAGACATGAAGCTAAGAAGCAGTGCATTTATGATGGAAAGATTCTTCCTGAAGTATTGATCAAGCCTCTCTTTTTACCCACGACGGAGGTCTCCCATTTACTCCTCTTGTTGCTGCTGTTTGTTTGCTGCGTGCTGAAGGGACTAGAGGCAGTTATGCAGTGCTGTGTTGACAGACCAAGGTAGAGGGAGTGCTGCACAGCTGACTCAGCACTTTCAGCTTGTCCGGTCTTAGATGGATGCTTTACTTCCCAGACACTAGTGAAAAGGTCCCGGCAAACACTCTCTAAGATGTGGCATTGTGATATCATGATGGGAGTATTCTGATGACATAACAAAGTACAAAAAAAGCATCTGATGTTATTTATTCATTCAAAGTATCCTAATAATATGACTGCATGACATCCAGTTTTGTCTTTTGTTTTCAATAACAGAATTCTTGATGTAAAGACCATTATTTAACATTAACATCCATCTATCCATTTTCGGTTGCTTATCTGGGGTTGGGTTGCATGGGCTGTTACCTAAGCAGAGAGGCCCAGACGTCCCTCTCCCCAGCCACTTGGGCCAGCTCCTCCAGGGGAATCCTAAGGCATTTTCTAGCCAGCCAAGAGCAACAGTCCCTCCAGCGTGTCCTGAGTCGTCTTTTTTAGGTCTTCTCCCGGATGGACATGCCCAGAAAACTTCACCAGAGAGGCGTCAGGGAGGCATTCTAACTATGTAGATGCCCAAGCCACCTCAACTGGTTCCTCTTGCTGTGGAGGAGCAGCAGGTCTACTCCAAGTCCCTCCCGGATGACCGAGTTTCTCACCCTATCTCTAAGGGAGAGCCCAGCCACTCTGAGGAGAAAACTCATTTCAGCCGCTTGTATTAGCGATCTCGTTCTTTTGGTCTCCACCCAAAGCTCGTGACCATAGGTGAGGGTAGGAATGTAGACCGAAAGGTAAATCAAGAGCTTTGCCTTCTGGCTCAGCTCTCTCTTCATGTAAGAATATAGTGATAATTTTACAGTGAGAAAATCCCAGAAGAGTCTACTGTTTCAGTCATTAGGAAGGAAGGCTTAACTGAAACATATTTCATATCCAGCTGGCTGCTGGATTGTCAGTTTTACTCCTTTCTAAACAAAGGAAGGAGGGACGTAACTACTGTTTACCATCAGTGAGAGTGGGGATGCCATGTATCCTGTGAGCTAATGCTGCACTGCCGATAATTGTAATTTGACAAAGGCTGGCAAAAAGCTCCAGAGTTGTTTAAAGTGGTTGCAGTGACCAAGTTTTATCACATGATGTCATTTTTACTTTATTTCGACATAATGCACCTTTAAGGAGCTCTGGGTGGCTCTCATCTACCCCCGGAGCCACCGAGGAGCTTTTTGACCACCTCAGTGACCTCAGCACAGAGATTGGGGAGCCCAACCCAAAGTCCCTGAATTTTGCTTTCTCACTGGAAGATGTGCAGGTGGTACTGAGGAGGTCTTTGAAGTACTCTGCCCACCGATCCACAACGTCCCGAGTAGTGGAACATTTTCGAGGTTCTGTCGGAGATATGAATTTAAACTCTGCCAGATGTTCCCAGCAGACCTTCATAATACGTTTGGGCCTGCCAGGTCTTACCGGCATCCTCCCCCACCAACAAAGCAAACTCACCACCAGGTAGTAATCAGTTGACAGCTCCGCCCCTCTCTTCACCCGAGTGATCAAGACATGTGGCCGCATGGCCGAAGTCCACTAATAAAACACCTCTTGAATTGAGATCAAAGGGGCCATTCCTCCCCACCACACCTCTCCAGGTCTCTCTGTCAGTGCCCACATGAATGTTAAATTCCCCCCAGCAGAATGAGGGAGTCACCAGAACTTGCACTCTCCAGCACCCCCTGGTGCACCGTGGTTAGATGGTGAATTAAAAGAATATAAGGAAAAGGGGTGTTATTAAGGCAGAAGCAATTACATCGGGGGATGATGTAGTATGGGAAAGGTACAAGAGGTTAAGGAATTATGTTACAAAACTGAATAGAATGAAAAAGAGGGTGTATTACAAGAACAAGTTTGTGAATGTAAATGAAGATAGAAAGAAACTATGGAATACGTTAAATGAGGTTACGGGTAGGAAACCAAAGTTATTCCCTACATATTTGGAAGTTGGCGATTCATTTTTGAGTAAACCTGTTGATATAGCAAATAATTTAAGTGATTATTTCATTAATAAGGTGCAAAAATTACAAGATGATATGAAAGTAGGGTTAGGAGGGGATTTGACTGGAAAAATTATGAAAGATAAAATAATGGGTAGTAAATCATGTTCTTTTTCATTTAAATTAATGACAGTTGATATGGTGAAGAAGTGTATACAGAAAATGAAGGTGAGACCTGCTGGTACTGATGAATTGGATGTGAAGTTATTGCAATTAGTGGTGGATAACATTGCAATTCCGGTGTCTCACATTATTAACCCTTTGATGCATAATGGCCACTACAGTGGACAGGTACTCAAAATTGTTATTTATTTGTTTTTGCTATTAAGCGCAGCTGTTGAAGACTTTATTGCATTTGAGCCCCTCCATTTGGACTTCAGTAAGCCAAGCCAACATATTTCATGCTCAGAATGCACGCTGCCCACTGAAGTGGACATGTAATAAATTATTTGTAAATTATAAAATTTTACAAAAAATATTTGTTGAAATTTGTTTCATTCACACTTAAAGACGAATGAAAAATAATGTTAAAAAAATCATGGTTGAAGATTTCATAATTCATGCATCAAAGGGTTAATTTGAGTTTGGAAGAATGTAAATGCCCAGGGAAATGGAAAATGGCAAAAATTGTTCCTCTTCCAAAAATAATGAGCATTTTTCTGAGAAAAATAGTAGGCCGGTGAGTATTTTACCAATTTTAGGGAAATTAATTGAAAAACTGGTTTTTGATCAAATAACTTTATATTTCGAGGAAAATTAGTTGAATTCTAAATTTCAGCGTGCATATAAAAAAGGGTACTCAACAACAACGGCACTAGCACAGATGACTAACGATTGGATGACTAATATGGATAATAGAAAACTAACTGGGATGGTATTATTGGATATGAGTGCGGCTTTTGATCTAGTGGATCATAATCTATTACTGATGAAATTAGGGTTATATGGTTTTCATGAATCAGCTATTAAATGGGTGGAAAGTTACTTAACTGAAAGGGGGTTTATGGTATTGTTTAATGGCAGTTATTCTCGAAGGAAGAATCTTTTATGTGGGGTTCCGCAGGGAAGTAGTCTTAGGCCATTGTTATTTTCAATTTTTACTAATGACCTTCCATTTATGTTAGAATGTGCCACAATTGTATTATATGCGGATGATTTGACTTTATATGTAGCGGAAAGGAATCTGGAGGAATTTAATTCTATTTTGGAAAAGGAACTGAGGTTAGTAGAAGGGTGGTTTAATGAAAATAAGTTAGCTATTAATGTGGAGAAGACTAAATGTATGGTGATGGGATCACCTCATTTGTTGAGAGAACCTGTATTGAATTTATGTATAAGGGAAATGCCAATTGAGTAGGTTAGAGAAGTTAGGTTACTGGGTTTAACAACTGATGAAACGCTAAGTTGGAATAGTCAAGTGAAACAGATTTTAATTAAAATGGGAAAGAACATGCAATGGTGAGGAATGGTAGACAGTGTATTCCATATTTAAGTAGAAAAGTATTAGTTGAAGCTATTGTTTTGTGTCACTTGGACTATTGTGCAGTAATTTGGGCTGCTACTACGGAAGCAAATTTAAATAAGTTACAGGTCGCACAAAAGAAGGCTGCTAGATTAGTCTTAAATTGTTCTTTTAGAAGGAGTTGTGAGGACATGCATACTGCTCTAGCATGGATGGGTGTACGGAGTAGAATAAAGTACTTATAAAATTTATTAGGAATGTTTTTCCGGCTTTTGGAGGGTGCAGACGCTTTCCTTCTCCTCTCCTCCATATCTTATCCTCAAGGCCTTTGTCTGTCTATGTGCTGGGTGCACGGCTGCTTCTGCATTTTTTCTGGAAACTGAAATTCACAAAAATGGATCTCGTCAGTTGGTCACTCAACGCGGTTGATAAAATTTTTTCAACGATGAGAACGGGAGAAGGGGCTCCAGGATGCCCCTCTGAGACAGACCCAGTTGGACACATCATGGACTCCTGGAAACAGTGGAACTTGATGTGTCTATCTCAGCTGTCAGTGGAGGACTCAGAAGATGTGTGGATATTCGTGGTGTTGGTGTCGGGTTTCCTGGTGATCGGCCTTGGAGGCTATCTGGCTTACCGGAAAATTAACGAGCTGTCGAGGAATATTGGCCTGATGCCCGAGCTCAGAGAAGGATTGCACTGCGCTGTGAATTCACAGACTTACATAATTGTCGAGATGAATCGTAAGCTTGGAAGTTTGGCCGAGATTCATTCATTGGCACAGAAGATGGATGCCATCAAGGATAGAGTGGACGAATCAGCACGGATTGGGATAGTTTAATGTCC